GATTCTCTCCCTCTGTCCCTTCTCTCCCTCCCCCCCCACCTGCTCTCGCTCTCAAAAATAAATAAATCTTAAAAAAAAAAATGAGAAAGGGGCCAGAAGAAAGGCAGCCCTTGAAACCCAAGAAAGCCCAGGGGTGACTAGGGGATGGCTCTGTCAGTTGTGGCCAGATGGGGGACAGCGTGTGGAAAGGAGCGCGGCCAGCATGCAGTGTTCTCCTGACAGAAGAGACTGCTGCCGGGGAGCAGAGGAAGCCCTGGGGAGGAGCAGGACTAGAAAGAAGCGTGCAGACCCCTGGGAGGTGGAAGGAGGAGCAAGAGACCAATCAGACTGGCGTCTCCACTGAATGGGTTCCCACCGGGGCTCCCAGTGACCTAATGACCACCCTCTGTGGCCTCTGCTCATTCTCTATCCTGCTGAGTCTTGCAGCATTTTGTCCGTGGTCCCCTCCCTTCTTTTCTGAGTCTTTTCTCTTCTACCAACTTCCACCAAAGCCTTTGCTCAGATTTTCTCCTGCTCCCACCGCTCCTGCTTTCTCTTCTCAGTTGGCCCTGGGGCTCCCCCCCACCCCCCCGCCCTGGGAGAATGTTCGTGTGGCTCAGCGCGCATCTCCTTGTCACATCTTCTTCTCAGGTAATCGCGTGGATGTATGCGGCTTTCACCAACACTGATGTGCTAACAACTTCACGAGCTTCAGAGTCACGTTTCCAAATGCTTCGGAGACTTCTCCACTCAGTGGCTGTATAGTTATTAAGTCCACATGTTCCGAGAATCCCCAGGGACTCATCTCCGACGTGTTCCTTCTCCCGTGAGGTCCATTTCAAAGGCAAAGGATCACAGGCATCATTCTCGACTCGAGTCCTTCCTCTAACTCCCGCCTCCAAATGGCCACCCCATGCTCCTGAACCTTCTGTGCTCTTCCTCCTGTTGCAAAGACAACTGTGCGAGGCCCTGGCTGCCCACCTGAACAACTAACTTTTCCACTGCTCTCCCTGCCTCCAGTCCCCCTCCCTAATCCATTAGACACACTGCAACTGGACGTCCCTTCCAGAAACCCACATCCAACATGTGGTCCTCCCCATAAGGTGTGCACTGCTGACCCGTGACTTGCGAGACTCTTGGGGCGGACTCTTCTTCCGGCTTCATCTCCTGCCACCCCACTCCCCCTCCACCCTGTGCTCCAGCTCCAACAGACCACTCAGCTGTTGCCACAGTATGTGGTCTTCTCCATATCGTCACACAAGTGTGAGGGAAACGCTCTACCTGATATGCTCCTCCCTCTCTCCCCTCCTGTCCAGGAAATTGTTACCATTCTTCAAGACTCGGTTCAAATATCACCTCCTCTACAAAGCATGCTAGGACCCATCACTCGGCTAATCACCGTCTCCCTCATAACCTCACAATGTTACACAACCACAGCAGGCTTTGTCATAATACACCCCAATTACTCGCCTCTGTGTCGTTCACCAAGCTCAGCGTTAGTTCACCGTGCTGCTTGCTGAAGGTTCCGGAATAAAGTTATGAGCACATGAACGAACAAAGGGTTACTTCGCCTTTCTCACCCACTATAGCAGCTGAACCCAAAGTGTTCCTGGAAAGGAAGCTGAAGCAGTCTTCCCCCTGGTAGTCTACAGATTACAGAATATTACATGCCTAAAGTGCCCCCGCCAAATTCCTGAGCACCCTCAAGGTCAAAAGGGGGCTATGACATTTCCAAACTCCAGAAACACGGTTGGTATTTGAGATGCCACAATTTAGTGAGGTCCGCATGGCAGTCAAAGCACAGCGATGAAGCCTGTCCCCTCCCAAGTTCACTCACAGAACACGTTTTTACTGAGTGCCTACTGTCTACTGGACCAAAAGGACTCAGCATTAGTAAAGGCCAAAGACACATGGCAGCAAAGAAAAAAGACCAGAGTTCCTTCGTTCAGCAGCCCGCCTAAACTTCTTCAATGTGCCAGGCTCTGCCCTCCGCACTGAGGGGACACGGGGGTGGGGGGTGGGGAGACAGACAGACAAGCATCCCTGTCCTCAGACAGCCAAGGAACAAGATGAAGCAGTGACATATATAAAAAAGGAGGCGGAGGCAAGTGCTCAGGAGAAACAAACAAACATGGAAAGGAAAGAGGGCGTGTTGGTGGCGGGGGGCGGGCTGCTCACGAGCACTAAGCGCTAACGGAGAGGCGTGGGAAAAGGCTGTGGGGACACGAAGAGGGAGGGGCTCCTTCACGGGAAGCTGGAGGAGGCTCGGAAGAGGGCATGATTGTTGAGGTGGGTTCTGGACAAACAGCATGGGCAGCAGTGGCGGGAGCTGAAGCAAGACAAGTCACAAGGATTTTTATGCCATGTAAAGGACAGTGGATTTTATTCTGTGGGCCACAGGGAGCCAATGAGAGTTTTAGACTGGAGAAGTAAGCTGGCCGGCCTAGTTCTAAGGAGGATCACTCTGGAGGCAGCATGGAGGGCAGAGTAGAGGGGGGATGACCACGCAGGAGGGCCACAGGGACAGTCTAAGGAAACAACCACTGTGCTTCTACTGTCCTGGGGAACGGGGCGGGCAGGAAACCTTGCCCTTGACACCTCAACGAAGTGGGACTGCGGACTCCCGTGTCAGACCACGCTCCTGCAGCAGTGTTTACCTACCTGAAACCAACAGGTGTCCGCTTCAAAATGCCAATAAGAGGATAGCTCTTTGTCAAACACACAGTGTGCAGCAGAATCCACAACTGATACTCTTATTTAGGGCTTTAAGAAACACTATGATGACTATGTTTTGAGGCTTCTGCATAACCACTTACGTGGCTTTCTTTAAAGGATGTTTTCTGCCATTAGCTTCTTGCTTTTATACTTGGACTAAATGTTATAGCCGATTGGTCAAAATGTTTATGTAAAACAGTGGAAGAAGAAACTAGTAGTCAGTGTCCAATGGGCCTTTTATACACCCATTCGGTGCTAATCCCCACCTTCTACTATGCCATATGAAAACCAACTAAAGCTTGCTAAGTGCTTCCCCAATTAATTACAAAAGTCCCACGTGCTCATTCCAAGTGGAGAGGAGAAAACAGAGCATGCATAAGTCCACTCTCCAGATCTCCCAAGTACTAACACACCTGCTGTTATTTCTTTCCAGCCTCTTTTCTACAGACAGGTTTTGCTTGGTTTATGCAGTTGAGATCATACAATCTTGTCATGGCATCACAGTTTTAAAAATTTCCCCAGTTCATCATCAGTGACAGCATAAAATGGAACCGGGCATGCGTGGCCGGCCAACAAGCCAAGAGTCTCAGAGGAGAAAGGCACCGTAACACTTGCTTTAATTCTCATTTTTGATGACTCTTGCATATATTAGCATAAAATCTCTCAATCTGTCTCAATTTGACCCTTGGGAGCCATACAGAATGAGTCTGATCCCTGCTCCACAGAAGGCACTTCAGACATTCCAAGGTAGCTCTGTCATGCCTCCCTTCCGTCTTCTTTTCTTCAGATGAATCATCAACACTTATTTCAATCATCGCTCATATTGCAGCCCCTTCACAAGCCTGGTTCCCTCTGTCTGAACCCTCGCTGGTTTGCCAATGTCCCTCTTAAAACATGGCACCTGGATTTGAACACGACACTTCAGATGGGACTACAGTCTCATTTTGCTGGCCATTATATTATACTTTTGTTAGTTAAGCCTACGGGGATATTAACTTTGTCAGCAGTCATGCCCAATTACTGGATCAAATAAGCTTGAGCCCCTATTAAGACAGACCTGACCTCCTCCATCCTTTGTTGGTACAACAGGTTTGTATAAAGTAAATGTTATCTACATGAAATGTATCATTAGTTTCCCGCCAATATCCTAGTCCATTAAGACAGTTTCAAATCGCAACTGCATAGTCTAACACATTGGCTACTTCGCAGTCTTTCACATATGGGACATGCATACTTCCTATGGGTTCAACTGCATTGCATTAGACACACTGCAGAGGAGGGGCCCTATACAGCAAGACATTCGTTACCGCCCTTCCTGGTTGGTATCAAGGCTTTAATCCAGTCTGTAACTCCATCTAGATGTACCACCACAATTTGGCCCATGTTTCTTAGTCATATGCCTCAATTTAATCAGGACAAGCTGTCAGTAACACAGTCCTAAGGAAATTATGGGGTAAAAGCAATGACACAAAAGCTACAATCCCCCAACATTCTTTACATCTCCTGTGTATAAACTGCTGTTGGGCTACTCTTCCACATACCCTGGACCTATCCATTCTTCCTTGGCCCCAAATACAGCTGCCCCTTCAGGCTGTCCTGGACAATGGCGACCCACTGCATGCACCGTAGGTCCTTCAGCGACAGCCACGCAGCTCTTCACTCATCCCTTCCCTTCGGGAGCACCTCGTCCCCATCTCATTGTTCCATCAGTGCTACATGCCTTGAAATGCTATGGCACACATTTCACGGCCACAGAATGAAAAGGTAGATTGGCACTAAGCCACACCATTGGCTTCCTAGTGCTAAACCGCTGTCTAGTACTTTGTGATTGACCACTTGGAAAGTTCTAGAGCAAGGGGCCTTAACAAGGGATTCGCATCAGCATCCTCCTCTGTGAAGTCTTAAAACTTACGACTATACCTGGACCACAGGCCTGGACACTGTGATGCAGGACATCTAGGGCATCTGTAGTGTCTGTTAGGCACCCCAGGTGGTTCTCGTCTGCGCTTCTGGTAAAGAACCACTGTTCTCTACTCATTTCTCCAAACTAGCGAATGGGTCCAGTTACCAACGCCTCCCCTATGTTCTGAGGGCTAAAACTTCTTACTTTTTAAATCCACACTATTCCTACGTACACAGGTGTTAGTGGTAAATGAGCTTTGCATAAGCCAAAAATTAAGAGCCGAGAAGCAAATACATCCCCCATGTTAATCTGATCCACAGGCAACGTTGCCAGGTAGAAGAGACACAGTTTAGCATTATCTTTAACAGTTAGGGTCATCTTTATGGTCTTAGATTCTACTTACCATTTCCAAACTTCTTAAATAAAGACGATAATTTGTGATGTAAACTCTTCCCTTAATGGGGCCATTGAAAGGACATATGTAAATAACTTCTTTGTCTATTAAGATAAAAAAAGTACCCTAAAATAATGGAAATATATACCAAGATACACAACAAATGGCACTCATTTAATATCAACTATGTGGCTAAGAATAACTACAGTAAAAAAAGATCCCTGGAAAGGTTGAAAGGCGGGCACTGGCCGCGTTTCTACGTTACCGTGCCAGGTCAAGTGGGGCCACAGGTCACCTCCAGGTACCGGCATTGCTTCCCTGAGCTTGACCAAAATGCTGGCACCACCGAGGGCAGAAGTGGTTGTAAAGGTAACTACGGAGCTACTTCAACTAGAGGACGGCCATTCAGGCAGGACAGTCTTGTGGACTAACTGCCAGATAGGGTTTGAGGTTGGCCAACCTCTAATCATGCAAACGTCATGATGTTTTAAATAAACAAACGTCAGTGGTAGAAATATTCCTACAGTCTATTCTTTCTAATAGTCCAGAGAAGAGTTTTTAGCTAGACTCATTTCGATCATTTAAGGGACAGAAAACAGATGGCCAAGAGAATAGTACATCTTTAGTAGACTCAAACATAAGGAGAGACTAAATCAGGAGACTTAGTTTATTATCATAAAAAGATCTTTCTGTTATCTTTCAAGGATGTCCCTGAATGTGTTAACGGCTTTTAATTCTTCTTAACAATTTTGAAATCCCTTTCTCCTCGGGTGCTAAATGAAAAATACCCAGTAAGGTGACTTCATGCTAATTCAGTACAGGACTCCCTCAGTTAAGCTTCTGATGCTGACGCAGAGCACCAAAATTTCATATATGAAGGCCACCCAAAGTAAGCTATCCTCTTTGCTCTTATCCAGAATTTGGGATGGACACATGCCACTGGTTTTCAAGACTAGCATCGTGTGCAAGTCTGTGGATACGGAAGAGTTTCTCATGGTGCATGGCTAACTAACTCACAAAGGCACCATGTCTTACACCATGTTTTAGCCATTGAAGCTAAACAACCCAGACCTTAGTGAACAAACCAAAAGGTTCCCTGAAACGATGGTAACTGTATCACCACCAAATACATGGTAATCTGAGGCAAGGGTGTCAGCCCTAATATAAAATGTGAATGCCCACAACATCAGCATTTGGCTTAGAAGTTGTCAGATGCTCCTGTATTCTTAAGCCAGAATGACCTGGCCCTTCCAAAGCAGATCCCTTCCTCTTAGAATGAATTTATCATGAAAAAGACAAGTCTACAATCGAAATACTGCATCAATATTACTAACTCCAGTTATCGGACAAACAAAAGCTATCATAAACCAGTATGGTCTCCTATATTTCAAAGAGAAGACTATTTAGACGTTAAGTCTTTAGGTTGATCATTTTAAGGCATACAACCTAGGCTGGAAAACCTTACTATTACTTGGTTCTTAAAACCTCAAACCATGAGAGCTTAGAGCTCCAATAAGGACATTCGAGAGAGAATCCACTTTTTTTTTTTTCTCCAAAATAATTCTGTCTTGGGTACAGAGGGGAAAATATGACTATCCTGGATAGCATGAAACTCTTCAAAGAACTCTGATCAAGAAACTAATGCAGAGAGTTCTCCTTATGTTAACACTTTTAAACAAAGCTAGCCTATATACCTAAATCTGAGTTCTAAAGAGAAAGAGGGATTGAAGCCACCTGATCCTGCTGGGATTCTCATCAAGTAATGCAAATCCTAACTTCACAGGACCCTTACCAGTGATGCGAGTTTCTCCTGGAAGTCGAGGAACAGCCTCACTGAGGTCCCGATTAACTCCATCCCTAGAAGTCTGGAAATGAAACAGGGCATCAGAGGAATAACATTACATTTGCAGATTTTTAAGCAACCTGGAACACAACCAACCAGAAATATACTTTGTAAAGAAAAAAATTAGAGTGATATTTATCGTTATAGAAAAGTGGCACAGAAAAAAACAAACGACCAAAAAATACAACTTAGCTTCAATATTCATTAGCTGTGTTAACTTTTAGTCTGTAAATAACATTAGCACACTTTTCAATATTAATTTTTAAATACCCCTTCCAGGAGCTTTACAGTGAACACTGTTCAGAAAAGTGATAAAAAGTCAATATTAAGCATATTCTATAGACACACGCATACTTTGGCATTTTTTTCCATATTAAATATTTAGTCATCTTATGTTAACAGCAGAAATGAAAACTTCATTTCAAGGGGGCCTTAACTGAACAACAGTAATTACAGAATCTTCCCATAATGTCAGAATCTTCCCATATGTTACTTCTTAACGTATCAGGTTTCTTATTCTACTGAGATCCTTCCTCGCATAGGTCACTATATAAAGAGGAAAGGGCGGTCAAGCATTTTAACTAGGAGGGCAATCATTTCGTGTGCGAAGTTAGTATATACTTCCCAAAGAGGGTTTTTGTGACTATTAAGTGAAACAAAATGCACAAGCACACTTCTGTGAATTATCAAGGCCTATGCAAATGTAAAGTATTATACAATAAGAGAACTGTGAATTGTGTATTTAAGTAAGATATAAGCTGTCAAAGTTGGGTGCTCTGCTGGATTTTTAATGGTTTTATCATTTTTATTCAGGCACAAAATGAAAATTCCTAACCATTTTTCAATGTTTTAGTACTTGTAAGCTAAGCATTTTAACTACGAGGGCAAGACCAATTGTTGCCAGCCAGGAATGCCTTCCCCCATGGGGAGAAAACCACACAACTTATATAAATGGTAAGACTGGAAAGAAATCACCAGCATCCTTTAACGCTGCCCCTCACTAACTAAAAACAAGTATAACGAGCAGATGTAATACTCAGTATACCTTTTAAGGGCCACAGTTCGGGGTCAGGAGAAGAAAGTACAATTCAACCACAAAATTAGGGAAACAGATGTTTGATTAACACGGATAACATGGGATTAACATAGGATATACTTTATATTAGAGTCAAGGACTTACAATTAGCTCCATGAAGTAACTCTTGTGTTTAGAACTGATCCTTGTACCATAATGATACCAAATACAATAAAAACTTATAAAATCTTGGGAATGAAAAAGGTCGTTGTAGACATGACACCCAAAGCAGAAAATATGAAATACAAAAGAATGATAGATGTGATCCCATAAAAAACTTAAACCTCTGTATTTCAAAATCAAAATGCCACAAATATAATTAAAAGGCCAATGATAAGCTAGGAAAAAGACCTGTAATGTATATTATAAAGAGCTGATTATCATAATATGTAAAGAACACTTATGAATCAATAGAAACACACCAAAAAGCAAACAGGCAAAGGACACGAACAGCCACTTCAAAAAAGAAATACAAATGGATAATAAACACTATTTTTTAAAAAAAGGTCATCCTCATTAGTACTCAGGGAGCTACAAATTAAAAAACACTAGTTGGCTCCCTTCTGATTGCTTAGGCATCCCTGTACACTGCTGGTGGGAGTGTAAATGAACCTTTCTGGTGGGTAATTGGTAAATGTATCCAAGGCTTCAAAGGGCCATGAATAAAGCTTATTTTAAATTCGCCCCTTCCTTTCAATATATGTTTCAAAATCATCCTCTAATTACACAATTTTCTCCTCGATACTTTGAACAATTTTTTCTTGACGCTGTATTCGTTTCGCTCATACAACTATTTTAGCATCATATTAGAAAATAAGGCCAATATTTCGGAAGGTGTGAGAGCCTGTTCAGTGGGCCTTGGCCTTCCAATATCTCCTTCAGAAAGCTTTTAAGGCCCAGAGATGGCCTAGTATCTTAAATATAATGTCTGGCAGCAGTTCACAAAACAAAGGTTCTCAAAAATGAAGTTACGTGAAAGGATTTAGAAATGCAAAACTTACTTAACACATATATGGCATTCTGTCTTTTCTGGAACAAAGTAGGATATTAAAGAAAACCACATATATTGAAGAACGTACATTATGTGAATAATGAAATTAATAATTCAATAAGCCCGAAATGACCACCTAATATGCAAATATGAGAAGAGAAATGCAGAGAAAGGGGTACAAATTAAATCTGAAAACTTACCCTCTTAATAGACTCATTCTCCAAGGAGTGTGAATTATACTTAGAAGTTGGTGCAGAAGCCATACTGGAAACTCTAGCAAAAAAGACAACATTCAATATCAGCAGATTTTGTATGCAATTTCCAACAATGCGGCATCTGAGATTTAAATATTGCAACTGAGAACAAATGGTACTACGCTCGACAGGCCCCATTTCCGTAGTAGTCTCCAGGGGGAACGAGACACACAAGGGACTTACCACAGCACACAGCACAGGTCACGTGAAAGAGCTCCAACAAATGTATAGGGAACTGGGCAAGAACAGAAAAGGGCAGCTAAGTATACTTGGGGGAGCTCAGTGGGAGACACTACATATACCCCCAGAATGGTTATTCATAGTGTTCAAATTGTCATCTCAAAAAATGCACTGTTTAGTAATTGTGCACCAGTCCTCAAATTTCCACACTTCTTAATTTTTAAAGATAATTTAGAAGCAGCCAAGCAGATTGGTAAAAAGGGTAGACAACTGAACTCACACTCTTTCCGCCTTTAAGAATTCAGTCTTCTCCAAATTGAGGCAATTTAAAGTGGCATGGACTTGATGGAAATCAAATTAGCAAGATTTGATTTGATCAGTATTTTCCAGGGAAAGTTTATACTTCATTTAAATAATGCATATTCATCACAATTCAGGCATAAATGAAAGCATCGTATTCAGAACATACACAATATTTTAATGCAAGGATTTAGACTTGTGAAGACTATTGCAACAACAGAAAACTAAGTGATGCTTTAGTTATTTTATTTCTCAAAGTTAATGACACAAAGAGATCTGTATGAAGTCACTGGGAGGTGAACCACATCAACTAGGTGACTGTGGATATTTATGGGATCTTTTTTGCCAGGCCCATGAAAAAAGCAACCACACAAAATCTGGCATGGCTAATATTAACACACCTTGGCCCAAAACCTAGAGATCTGAGAGCTGCACAGTGCCAATCACTGTCCATAAGTAAGGCCCAAGAGAGGTGACAAAGATGCACATAAAAGTAACCACCAGGATAACGAGGCAAGGATGGCTACATGAGGACATTCTTACAAGACTGCCAGGCTTCCCCCAGCAGAGTTCAGCTCACCAAGGGCAAGGTTGGGCGTCCATCTAGGTCATGGCTGCATCCTGGCGCACAGCTGGCACTCCTAGCTATTTGGTCAATGAATGAGTATGTACAAGATACACAATATTGTGAAACATGATGGGGTGAGCTAGTACCTTGGTTCACCAAATCCTAAAACAATGGACCTAGGGTGCTACCCTGAGGCTTAAAAATTAAAAACCATGGCAAAATAAAATGCTTCTTTATAAACTTAAATCTGCAACTATTAAGAGGTAGCACAATCTAAAATTAGAAATAGCTTTTTAGAAAAATTAATGAATAATTTAAAAATGAGTGAAATTCAGATAAAAGCTTAGAAAAAATAGCTTCAAAAGACCTCTCTAACCTCAAGTTCAAATCCAAGCAAAATAACTCATTATTCTCAGAGACAGCAGAATGGATGAGACAGACTAGTGAGAGCAAGTCAGATGTTTCTGCCCTGAAATTATTCTATGCACTAAACAAGATTATATACTTGAGGGATTTTCTTCAGTAACGGATATAAAATTACTTTTTAATAATCAGATACTACAGTATTTAAAACATTTTAATAATATAAGTCAATGTTTTCAAATAACATTAAATTACTACTGTCAAGTCAATATAAGAAATTCAAAATGCTGGGGTATACAGTCAATTCAGTCTTCACTTTCCTGTTCATGTTTATAAGCCATAAAAGGAAGAGGAGTCTTCCTATATTTTTCAATCCTCGTTTAAAAAAATTTCAATTTAGGGGCACCGGGGTGGCTCAGTCAGTTGAGTGTCCCACTCTTGATTTTGGCTCAGGTCTTGATCTCAGAGTCATGAGATCGAGCCCTGTGTCGGGCTCCTCACTGAGTGTGGAGTCTGCTTGTCCCTCTCCCTCTCCTCTCCTCTCTCTCTAAGTAAATAAATAAAATCTTTAAAATAAGAAACTTCAATTTAAAATGAACTAAATATAACAGAGGAAAGTCCTCACGTCCCCCTTATTTCTAACTACCTAACAAGATATAACTAGCTACACAAGTCACCCTTTTCAAGTGTACAATTTAATGGTTTTTAGTATACCCAGAGTTGTACCCAGCGTTAGAACATTCTCAGCACCCCAGAGAGAAACTCTGTACCCATTAGTCACATATCACTCCCCATTCCTCCTGCCCCTAAGTGACCACAAATCTGCTTTCTATCTCTACAGATTTGCCCATTCTGGACATTTTATATAAGGAATCACATACAGTTCACCCTTAAACAACAAAGGCTTGAACTGCGTGGGTCTACTTACACATAGATTTTTTTATAGTACTGTAAGTTTATTTTCTCTTATGATCCCCTTAATAACATTTTCTCTAGCTCGCTTTTATTGTAAGAATACAGTATGTAACACAGACAACATAAAAAAATATGTGCTAATCAAATGTTTACACACTTATATGTGTATTTTCAACTGCGTGGGGGGCTAATGCCCCTAACTCCTATGTTGTTCAAGGCTCAACTGTAATACGCAGTCTTTGTTCAAGGGTCAACTGTAATAGGTCTAAAGTCCTGATATTTTAGAGTTGCACCAGAAACTGCTATTATTAAAAGTTGGATCAAGCACAAATCTGAGAAATCCAGGGGTCCAAGTAACATGGGTCAGTTCCATGAGGTTTGCTTTAAAATGTCATAGGTGAACCTTTCCGGTGAATGGTTCCAATTGATCTCTGATGCACAGAAGCTGGAACAGCATGATGATGGAGAGCACAGATGTTAGAGCCAACTCCATTCAAATCCTGACTCTGCAACTCACTATTTGACCTTGGGCGGGTGATTCAACCTTCCCACTATTCAGGCCTTCGGCTGCTACGATCTCTGTATTTTTGCAGCACAGATGGGCAAAATGAATAAATACATGGGACAGGCTCAGAACAGGGTTCTGGTATATACATTAACAAATTATTAGCATTTTTTTTTCAATTATGAAAGGATACTTATTGAATGCTGACACTAACAAATTCTTCTACAAATTAGTCTTGACCCTATAAATACTAGCTAGAAAGTTAACTAGCACAGGGATAGTGCATGGCCAGCAGTGACCTAGTTATAAAGCTTCTCTTTAAAAAGTACATGAAAATACCCTTTTGGTTACATTTTGCCCAGGACCCCTAAAGATTGAGTTTTCATCCTTTTTATCTAAAAAACATTGAATTTGGGCTACCCTGGCTTTAAAGTGAAATTGAAACTTAATTCCTGTATCTATTTCTATCTATCCACACACACACACACACACACACACACACACTATAGGAATCTAAAAGGTAGATATCTCTCATTTTTGATCCTGAAAAAAAAAACTTTTGTCATGCTTTCAGCCCAATCCTCTCTCCATGACAGAGAAGATGACCAGAAGAGCCCAGAGGATGTGTGAAAAGGACCGGTGCAAGTTAATGGCAGGTCAGCTCTAGCCTAGGCCTCTGCACTAACACTGGAGTGTCCTTTCCACCCAGGGAAAAATGCTTCCAAGTGTCTCTATTTTGAAGAAACCACGTTGGATGTGACTGGTGCCAATCCCAGCAGAAATGGAGTTTTAGACTAAGAAGTAGTTAGGAAAACTCAACTCATCTAGGCAAACAATCATTGGGGGCCCCAAACTCCTTCAAATAAAGCTACATAAAAGTGGCATTATTTAATAAATCAAATGTGAAAGTCACAAGATGGTCTTAATTGGATCTCTCTTTACATTCAAGACAACTAAACTCAAAGGTCTCATGGTGTCACTCTCTTTGCCCCTCCTACACTGTCCTCCTCAACTCTCTTCCCCATCTCCGTCTATCTCCCACCCTCCACCCTTCTTTCTCTGCCTCTCTCTGTCCATCTCTTCTCCCTAGCACCTGCCACCTTTCAGATAATCCGCTGTTACTGTCTGCCTCCCCCCAGCAGAATACAAGCCTCCAGCAGAAGGGGATTCTGGTCTGTTGTACTTACCGCTGCAGTTACAGCGCCTTTGACAGTGCCTGGCACTCAGCAGGTACTCAGTAAGTGCTGGTTAAATGAATAAATGGACTGGGCAATAAAGAGCTGGCCCAAGACCTGAACCGTTGTTCACCCAATATTTCATTTAAGCCAGAAGTTCATGCAAGCTTAAGAAAATGGTAGAACAAATCCTTGGCCAATCAAGATGCTCAAGGCAGGATGGCTCTGGGTAGCAGAGTGGCAGCATTAACTTATGCTGCTTTGAAGCAATTTGCACCACCAAGAACTGGAGTGCTGCTGGCCTCCACTATAGACTTTTCCCCTGAAACAGACCTTCCAAATTCAGGTGGGGAAACCTCTTCCCCCATACCCTGCTTCCAGACTAAGAACCTGTTCCCCTCTCTGTTGCATATGAAAAGCAGAATTCCACAAAACACCTGCAGCAGACATAACTATAAACACTTTCAAAGGTGGGCCATCTTTGCCCTTATTATATAAATCTAAAGGCAGTAGAATTAGAAAACAGTTTTGACCTCCACCCCATAGGGCCTTTGTGAGCAAAATCTAAACTCCAAGGGAAGCTCTAGTTCCCATGGTCACCTGACTGGAGATCAATGGCCCTCCATCAGTGGTCTAGGAACTTTCCATGTACAAACAGTGATAAAAGGTATGCAGGCCTTCTGTTTGGATTTTACTCAGTGTGCTTTCTTACTCTGTGTTGACGTGTAAATGAAGTTTAAAGATAGTTTTTCTCTGGAGGCTCCCTTGAAAGCTGTGGAAAGCTACCCAGTCTGAAAACCCACTTCTAAAGCCTGCCAGTGAGCAAGAAGTTGTGCGTAAGCAGCCTCTGGGTCCAGAATTACAAATCTTTCTGAAGGCGCTCTCTTTACTTGGAAGTCTGTTTTGAAAAAAAAAAAAAAAAGCCACACACTTAGGACAGTGCTGCTTAATACCACTAGACCCAATGCTCCCTTTGTTATTAAAGCAAATTCCCGTAAAGCCCCCTTTGCTAG